CCCTGATTTCAATGGGGAGCTCATTCCACCATTTTTGAGAGCCAGGAATAATGCAAACAACAGTGTTTTTTGCCTTGATGGGTGCAGGCGAGCCTGTTTGCTGATGCAGAGCGGAGTGCACGGTGCTGGGGTGTACAGGTTTAACCATGTCCTGGATGTAGTGAGGGCCAGATCCATTCGCAGCATGGTAGTACGCAAGTACCATTTCTTGAAGTGGATTCTAGCATTACTGGAAGCCAGTGAACGGGAGGCGGGAGGAGCGGCGTGGGTGTGAAAATGTTGGAAGGTTGAAGACCAAACGAGCCCGCTGCATTCTGGAATGACGCTGCAAGAAGGTCGGATGCAACATGCAGGTCAGACCAGCCAGGAGGGAGGTTGCAGTAGTCTAAGAGCGTAGAAGATGACGAGAGCTGGACCAGAACCTGCGTCGCTTTCTGGGTCAGCTTGGGGACGATAAACCTCTGAATGTTGTAGTAAAGCGTGTATCATGCAGCAGGGTTTAAGCAGCGAATGTTATTCAAGTGAAGGACAGTTTGTTATACTATGGATCGACACCCCAGATTCCTTGCAGTCCTGAGTCAGGAGGAAACCCAACAGAGGTGCTGATGACTTGATAAGGTCAAGAGTGGGAGCCCAATCTTTATCACCGGAAGGAAAAGCAGTTCAGTCCTTGTTTAAGGTTGAAGCTTGAGTGGTTGAGCAGACATCCACCGGAAGATGTCATGCTAGGACAACAGCCAGGAGAATGCGCCTGCGACGACCTGGGTCTCTGAGCGGAGGAAAGGACAGAATGTAGTTTGGGTGTACGTCAGCGTAGCAGTGGTATGAAGAAACCATGCGGGGCAATGACCGATCGAGTGAGTTTGTGTAAGGAGAAGAGGAGAGGAACAAGAAACAGATGCCCTGAGGATACCCCTGTAGTTTAATTAGAAAAGGGTTCGAACTCGACCCTCATCCAAGTTCCTGTAGGTACGGAGCCTTGAGGTAATAGAGGTGAGAGGGAAAGGTGCAGAGCCTGAATCCAAAATTATCCTGGAGAGTGCGAAGGAGGAATCTGATGAGCATGTGAAAAGGTCACTGTGTCGACATGCAGCAGACAGGTCCAAGAAGGATGATGACAGAGGAGAGGGAGGCTGCTTTAAGCCTGTAGCAGTTCCTCAGAGACACGCAAGAGGGCAGTTTCAAAATGTGGATGATTGCCTTTAGAAACCCAGACTGGTGTGGATCCAGAAGTTGTTCATATGAAGATAACAGGAGAGTTGTTTAAAGTACAGGAGCCGTTCCAAGTTGTTTTTAGACCTCAATCATTCATGACTTGTTGCCCCGCACTCGCTTTTTAGAGATACTCATGTTTAAACATCATGAAATTTTAATTCCACATTTAAATTCATTCATCATAATTTAAACATGCGTTTAGCCCAGTTAGATATGATCTCGATTTAGGAATAATATAACGATCACTTGCCTTTGCCTATTTATTCACCCTTATTACATGGCTTAGTTGAATACTTATTCTGATTGTCAATTCAGAACACGTGACACGTTGTTAATGATAGAACAGGACAGACTACAGTCATGGACTTATTGAACCGTNGTGGGGTCAAAATGATCACAAGAACGGTGAGCAAAAATCCCAGAACCACACGGGGGGACCTAGTCAATGACCTGCAGAGAGCTGGGACCAAAGTAACAAAGGCTGCCATCAGTAACACACTACGCCGCCAGGGACTCAAATCCTGCAGTGCCAGACGCGTCCCCCTGCTTAAGCCAGTACATGTCCAGGCCCGTCTGAAGTTTGCTAGAGAGCATTTAGATGATCCAGAAGAGGATTGGGAGAATGTCATATGGTCAGATGAAACCAAAATAGAACTTTTTGGTAAAAACTCAACAAGACCTGTTTGGAGGAAAAAGAATGCTGAGTTTCATCCAAAGAACACCATACTGCAAAGGGACCAGGACGACTGATCCGTGTAAAGGAAAGAATGAATGGGGCCATGTATCGTGAGATTTTGAGTGACAACCTCCTTCCATCAGCAAGGGCATTGAAGATGAAACGTGGCTGGGTCTTTCAGCATGACAATGATCCCAAACACACCACCCGGGCAACGAAGGAGTGGCTTCGTAAGAAGCATTTCAAGGTCCTGGAGTGGCCTAGCCAGTCTCCAGATCTCAACTCCATAGAAAATCTTTGGAGGGAGTTGAAAGTCTGTGTTGCCCAGTGACAGCCCCAAAACATCACTGCTCTAGAGGAGATCTGCATGGAGGAATGGGCCAAAATACCAGCAACAGTGTGAAAACCTTGTGAAGACTTACAGAAAACGTTTGACCTCTGTCATTGCCATCAAAGGGTATATAACAAAGTATTGAGATGAACTTTAGTTATTGACCAAATACTTATTTTCCACCATAATTTGCAAATAAAGTCTTTAAAAATCAGACAATGTGATTTTCTGGATTTTTTTTCTTCTCATTTTGTCTCTCATAGTTGAAGTATACCTAGGATGGAAATTACAGGCCTCTCTCATCTTTTTAAGTGGGAGAACTTGCACAATTGGTGGCTGACTAAATACTTTTTGCCCCACTGTATATACGTTCCTCCAAATATGTATTACTTAGAGAGAAATCCTTTTATAATATTGATATATTTGATTACCTTCTGCATCTCACCATGCCAGCTCCTTAAATCGAATTGAACTAAATAGAACCAAACTAAAGTGGATTAACCAGTCAAAGAGTAAGAAAGGTAGAGAGAGAAAAGCAATTCATTACACATAGAGACAGAGGACAAAGGACAACAGGAGTTGGACGGAGTGGGACAGTAGGAAACAAAATACAAAATTGAGTGAGAAGAAAGAAACTCGGAGAGATCACAGAAGTGTGAGAGAGGAGGTGAGCATGAATGGTGGAGGGATGAAGGTTGTGCTCTTGGTTCTGCTTAGCTATGTTTGATTCAATGATGCTGCTGACAGAGGTGCAAGGGTCAGTGACTGTGAGGGGGAGTCAGCTCAGTGTAGCTACAGAAACTGCCTTAAACTGTACGCAGGTGATGTTTGACAGTTACACAGCTTACACATTTCATTGGCTCAACATGAGGTTAAGATTTAGGGTCTTTTTCCTATTTACAACTTTGGTTAAGAGGTCAAAAACACTGTGATGTGATGTGATATTGATTTCAAGACAATGACACATATCATATTCTGAAACTAAGAAAAGAGGAAACAAACAAAGTACTAAGAGTAGTTAATAACCTCTAGACGATCTTTTCCCCGGGATAACTGAACATCCGCCTTTGGTGTGTTTTGTGTGTGTGTGAGCTTGCATATATATATGATGCTGTCACATCATATAATGTCACCAAGTTACACTCTTTGATCAGTTCCCCCCCTGAGAGCTCGTAGGGTTTCAGCCCTGCAGGAAAACGCGATTCTGTCATGCTACACTTGTCAATCACTGTAGCTGTGTGCGTTTCTGTGTCTGTATATGCATGTTTGACAGAGAGAGAGTAATTAGAGAGTGAGTTAATATCCTAAACACACACAGCCCATTATGATAATTGAAGCTTTCAGTGAAACGCTACTGCCAAGTTTCAGGCGGATGGCAATTGGCTGTGAAATGAGTAACGATATAAATAATGTAATTATTTTTTAACTTGTCAAAGGACAAAAAATTTGCATTTGATGTCTTAAAGATTATTCTGTAGAATTTGAAGTATAAGTATAATTTGTTCGTTAGGAAAACAGCATCTGGATACCTTGTGGCATTACTGCAGGTTTAAAATCTGGACTTTGACTTGGTTTTGAAGATGGGGAAATCAACCTGAAAATGCATGCAATAAAGATGCATGAATAATGTATTGTTTACAGAAGTTCTATTAAAGCAGTTGGATAAACCAACAAAAGAAAGTATGAGAATTGTATCCCAAAAACTTTTGAGTGTGAACTGCTCTCAAGGATTGATACTTTCTGTACTTCCCTCTGCATGTTCCATCCTCTGCAAGTTGGTTTACATATCGCTGGCACGAACTGAAACCACATTCTGTGTCTTGCATATAATAGAATACATCTAAATATAAATCCCTTGTTTTTTGTTTTTATTTCATACCTTCTGTGTTTTTATGTTTATTTTACTTTATCAATAATGAATTCTCAAATAAGTAGATAACTTTGTAAAATATTTGACATTTAGAAAGGAAAATAAACAGAAGTATACAATGTTGTATTGAGTTATACATCTGTCTTCTGCATATCAGTAAAACTCTTAAACTTGAAAATGACAGAATATTAGAAAAAGAAGGATCAAACTTAAAAAAAGGCAAAATAGTGAGCTCAAGAAGTGGGTACTAACAGAAGGACATGCTTACCAGGGGCTCAACATCGTTGATATCTATCCTGACACTCGTCCATTGTGTGACAAAGAGCTCTTGGCCACACACACACACACACACACACACACACACACACACACACACACACACACACACACACACACACATATGGAAACACACATATGGAAACACACACCTGCCACCTCTTTGAGTTTTCTATTCTTTCGGGTGTACTTACATCCCAACAGATAGTAGAACAAGTGTAACACACACACACACACACACACACACACACACACACACACACACACACACACACACACACACACACACACACACACACACTGCTCACCTTGAAATGTATTTGCCCAAAGCGAATTCAGAAGCATGGTGGAGCATGTGTTACAAGATGACAGACGTCTGGTAGAATGTCAAGTTTTAAAGGAGAGGAGAAAGGGGAGAGCAGCGAATAAAAGCACACTGCTATTAAGGGAAGGAAGGATAAAAGAAGAGTGACAAAATGAATAGAATATGATTGCAGGCCAGTTTGGCAGTACTGCTAATGTGACACTCATGCCAATAAAGCAGAGTATTGAATCAGATTCGAAGGAGCGGGAGCGATAAGAATTGAGCTCAGTGGGAAAGAAGGACGGAACCAATTTGAAAAGGAAGAAACAGAAAGAGAAAGGAGATCGACAACATCTGTGTACGGGAGGCAGTCGTATTCTATACGATGCCACACACACCAGTGTTACTCTCTGCAATCTTTACGTCCTGCTGGTTTCTTAACAAGCGTGCCATGGATCATTGCGTGTGTTTGCATCTACCTGTGTGCCTCAACTCTTTGTTTTGCCCTTCACAATTAAAGCTGAATTACACGATAATTACACTGATGACAATTAGCTGTGAGATGGGGAATAACATTCATTTCTCATAGGTTGTATTACATTTCACATAGCAACACAGCAATGTAAAAAAGGAGACCCATGGCATGTTCACCATTCTTTCTGCTGACAGTCCTTCTTTTAAGACCTTTAGATACTTAGCATTCGTCAACCTGTTAACAATTAGGACTGCTGCCAGCTGTCTTTAAGAAAGTAGCTATTGTGTGGTTTTTAAATATGGCCTTTGAGTTCAGACATTACTAGAAGGGTCTGTTAACATTGATTCATCTCTACCCTAAACACAACGCTAAAGTAGGTGGTAAGAATATCATAATATACTGACATCGATGTAACATTGAATCACCATTTTATGTCAGCATAAACATAGCTACAATATGGTAAACACCCCATACAAAATGTTCAGGATTTGACTCTCAGCCATCATTAAATCAATGTATGCATCTTATTGCCATTTAGCCCAACATCCCAAACAACCCGCTTATCTGAATGTCATCATGTCGCATGTTGACATTCATTATCAGTATAAAAACATAGCTGCCCTTGTTGTGTGTTACAGAGATCGAACGGGGCGGCTGTGGGGATCCCGGGGTGCCGGCATTCGGTCGCCGTAACGGTGATCGCTTCCAACATGGAGACGTTTTGACCTTCATTTGCCAGGCGGCCTTTGAACTTGTGGGAGAGAAGAGCATAACATGCCAGCACAACAACCAGTGGTCTGGCAATAAACCCACTTGTATCTGTAAGTACACACAGTTTATACAGATATGTACATATTTTCCTCTTTAGTTCTAAGTTTAAATGATCTTTTATTCTTTCTTACTTTGTGCCTATATCCATCTGTCCTTTCTGCTTTCATTCTTACCTCTCAACCTAACTTGTTTCCGTCCTGCCGTTCTTCCTTCTCTCCTTGCTGTTTGTAGTCTCATGTTTCTTCAACTTCACGGCTCCATCGGGGACTGTGTTGTCCCCAAACTACCCAGAGGAGTATGGGAACAACTTGAACTGTGTGTGGCTGATAATCTCTGAACCTGGCAGCCGCATTCATCTCCTCTTCTCCGACTTTGACCTGGAGCCACAGTTTGACTGGTTGGTGATCAAAGATGAAGGTAATTGTATTTTAATACATCTCCATCTTTTTAAAACGTATGTGTCAAATGAACCCCTCAGGATATGCATACATTCTACATGGCTGAAATATGGATGGATATGGATCATTCACTCTTTCTCAACTTTTCATCTAAGTCTATAACTAGTTTTATTTCCCATTGCACACAGAACACAGGGCATTGTTCCACTGTTCCCCATTGTAATACATGTTATTGATTCAAACTGAATCAAATGAAGTTCTGGTTTGAATGGCTGGTCATTAAAGATGAAGTCGTGTTTAATCGGCTGGCTGTAAACTTGTCCCTCTGCAGGCATTTTGTTTTTGAAGCAGGGTTTTGAAAATTGCAGGGCAATTAGTGCTGTTGCAACAGGCAAACTGACATAAAAGTTGCTGCTTCAAAGTCTTCCAGTTTGTTCCGTTGAGGGATAGATCTCTGCTGTCGCATGAAAAACACACTATCTCTTATTTTATGTAGAGATTTCAACAAAAAAAAGTAAATACCTGACATGACATGAATAATGATTATGAAACCTTAAGGATTTTTGATTGCATTTGTTTTATACAGCATATCAGTAAGTAAGAAAACAGTTGTATCTTGAACAGATGTAAGCATCTTGTAAAGCATCAGTATAAACTAAAGTAGCCGTTATGGTTACTAATATGTGTTAAGAATGTAAACAACTGTTTGTGTCTGCCACATTTAAAACATAGTGTTTCAGAATCACACTAAATGTGCTAATGAATGAATTTGGACCTGAAGGCCGCACCACAGTAGTTAGCTGCTGACAGATGAGAATATTGGTTTAAAAATAATGAAACTCGGCATTGACATGGAAAGTTAATTTGTAGTTATTTGTTATAAAGTTGATTTGAGGATATATTTGAAAAAGGCAGTGACAGCCATTTAAATAACCAGATCACTTTTTGGGGGGTTGCTAATTCATAAAATAATATGTATTGACTATTCATAAATGTTTTGATATCTCCTTTTGTACATTATTATACTTATTATTAACAACTGTGCTTTTATGAAACCAATGTGGTGACTAACAGTCTGCTGCTATGCCTTTAATACATGCATACATAAAAATGATGCTTTAGTCCAAGGGGAAACATCATTTGCATTCTAATGCCATAAGATACAAGTGTCCCTGGGCCTGCATGGGAGAGACCCAAAGGCTGTTCCATTCACCAAGGAGTTGATATGACCTTGAAGCATATGACTTCTTATTTAATCCCTGGATAATAGATCATTGAATTAAAAACAAATGGCGAGCACAAGTGAACAGAGCAAAGTAATAATCAAGCCATTAATCTTCCGAGCTGCAGAACAGTAGCATTAAACCCTGCCTAGAATCTTAAAGCATGCTCACTTTATAAAGGGTTAGCAAAATCGGAAACCATTGTCGCCATCTAATATAATAGAAGATAGTGAGAGACTTTTACAAAAGGCTTTTCTGTGAATCTCCTCTCTTAGATAAGATAATGTAGGACCTTGTCACTCTTTCAGCTATTGTCTCATTGCTTCTCTTCCCACTTCTGGCCTCTTGCCTATCAATGCAACAGTTGATGGAGTGAAAGAGCTTTTGAGTTGCTGAAGAACAAAGAGACTGGCACTGTGCAACTCATTCAGCTGTGTAGCCGAATAGACTCTAAAGTGAAAGGAATCCAAAAGTCAAGGAGGAAGAAATGTAAGCTTTCTGTTGGCCTGTGCAAAAATGGTCAGGGTCGCTTACCGCATTTCATCTCACTTGGTAGGTGGATTTATAACATTATTTTGACTGGAGGTTATGTACTTAACAATGTAATCTAAAACACACTGTCATGGATTGTGCAGGTTTGTTATGTTTAAATACTTTGATTGATTTAAATGAAAATATATGAAACAGTGTCTATACCATGCACTTCAGCCATTAAGTATACCAATATGCAAGGCATATTTGAAGCTGTGTAAATTCTTCTGTGATCTGATATTGTACTTGCCCCTAAGATATTGAATACACAATCATACAGTAAAATCTGCTTGTGAGGTTTCCTAAATAGACTCTCACAGGAATACACTCAATGACAGGAGGAGGTAAGTCTTACATTGGTATTGCAACTGCAAATGTATACATGCATTTGCTCTAAATGGGAATGGATTACCAACACTAGAGTTTAATATTGTTAAATGAATTACAAACATAATTGCAGATGCCAGAGGGTTAATGTGAGCATCACTTAGACCACAGAGGTGCCTGAAATTGTAGCAATGGCATTCTCAAAGGAAATCAATGAAAAAAAAACAAGATACAAGACACTGCATCAAACCATTTGCCTTTCAGTAGAAGGTCCTTAGTGGAATAACAATGGAAATGTTGTGTGGCAAAGCCTATAATGAATAATCACCCGTGCTGCTTCTCCCAGCACCAATCTGCTAGACTCCTGGTGGGCCATCAGCAACAAGCATTGTGTTAGTTCTGTCCGGGAGCTGGAGTTGTGCATTCTGATAGCTCATCAGCATCAGATGACATTTATAATCACCGATCACACTGGAAAAATATAATTCCAGTTTCTTTCAATCAAGACAATACGGTGGTCTTTAGAACTTCCCAATATCCTTCACTTACTGATGATTATCATGGCGCTGCTGCTGCTGGTGGTTAATCTGTTTATTTGTACCTGCTACAAACTACTGCTGCTGGCTGGAGACGATTGATTTCTCCATCAACCTCCTCAGCCTCCTCCTGTTCAACTGTCTTATCACCATATTTGGAGCTAGCATATATTTCCTTTTGCATTATGTCCATACCATATCTCACTGATATGAGCCTGCTGGGTTGTTCTGTGTAGCCCTTTAGGGTTTTATTATGCTCCCCACTGAATCTGTCGCTGCTGGTTGGATCATTTGAGAGCACCCTCAAGAGCAGAGTGTATTCTGCCAAAACAAATCATGTAGCCATTTGTTGTAGTAAATGGTCCTATGCTGTGACACAAATGTCTCAGACTGAAATGAGGTGATGCATGGTTACAGCCGTGCAGGCCAGTGCGGGAGGTGTAATGGTTGCGGAGGCCATTCAATTGGTATACAGTGGGGCCTTTAATGGCTATAGAGCGGTGCCTTAATGCCACAGCATACCCTAACATAGCAGCCAGGTTCAGCCATTCATTGCAATCATGTACCCCAAAGGGGATGATGGGTACTTGGAACAGGATAATGCTCCCTGGCATGGTGATAGAGTTGTCCAGAAATGCGAGATTCAAGACACATTCAGGCGAAATAACTTTAATGACCTACACACCACAATCCCCTGATGTCAGTCTCTCTGGTATTCTCTCAAATGTAGCGGCATCTGTAGAAAAGAGCATCTACGTACCAACCTTTGAGTTTTTTTCAAGGCACTGATGCCTTTCTGGTTTGCTTTAACACCAGAACCCAACAGGTCTCTTGCTGAGTCACTGCAGAGACATGTGGGAGGTGTTAATGGTGCTAAATGTGCTCCGATGCAGTACAAAACAGGGGGCTACATTTCTCAGATCACTTCCTATTTTGTCCATTAAGTTGGAAAGTTAGAGCTTTGTATAGACAGGATGTATCCTTGTTTTAGCACATTAATTGTACATTGTATCATCATTTCAATTGTCTCAGCAAAATACTAAACCTGTAGAAAAGAAAGTAGTCCTTGGCCTGATTGAAAAACACCAAAATGTCCGACACATAGTTTGTAACAACAAAGACAATGTAGCTCACTGCTGATGTTAAAACTCCCAAAAGGTTGATGAAGTAGTCCAAATGTTCTCCTCCAGGGAACAGCTGCAACGTTTTAATACAACAAATCAATAATTTGGCACAGTTGCACTGCTGTTAATACTTGTTTACATTTCTTAAATTAGATTTTAAATTCAGGTCCTATGATGGATTTTTTCTCCATTTGGTATTGACGGTATTACAGAACTGAATGAAGTGAATTAAATTGGTTCTTTTCACTCCATTAAATTATTTAAGCCGACTGGCAGGCGGGTGATGGGCTAATAGTGCTAGCCATTGTGCTTTCAAAAACCCTTTTCTCTGGTGATTTTTCTCTTCGCTGATTCCTTGAGAGGTGGCGTACTTAATAAAGTAGACCATGTACGTTGGTTGCATTTGTCTTCAAATGAATTCATAACAACAGTTTAGGATTTGATAACTTTTTCAGGAGTCTGGGGTTCTATGGTGTCATCTCACAGTATCTTTCTTTTCCTTGCATAATAACACTTGCTACATCTCTTGAGTCTCATAGGGTGTTTTGTATTAGTCTTTCACAGAAGTCCTTCACTTTCCAAGTATGTCCTTGGCCTAATGTTATTGAGCTGGAATAAGATGGGCAACATTAAAACGTGTTTGAACTGTTCTATTTCAGGCCTGTCTGAGCCAACAACGTTCGGGACGTTCTCCGGGAAAGATGTTCCATCACAGATCGCCTCGAATGGACACATTATGAGACTGGAATTTCAATCAGATCATTCCAATACTGGAAAAGGCTTCAATATCAGCTACACCAGTATGTGCAACCTATCTTTGTATCTCTATGTCTGTCACTGTATTTGCATGTAACCCAATCAACCCTAAAAACACATTGAAATGGTTCAAAAACTATTATGTGTGATGTGGCCTTAATTTGTGTACTGTTTCTAGTGTGTATTGTTGGATTTCACTCTCTCTGTGCAGACAAATGTCAGCATGACATCCCATTTGAGATGTTTTTAGAGCCACTACAATGGAGGTTTGATAGCACAACAACATCTCAAATGGGATGTCATGCTGACATTTGTCTGCACAGAGAGAGTGAAATCCAACAATACNTAACACAGTCAGAAAAAGTCGCCTGTGGCGATGCACATATGCTTTTAAATCACTGCTTCATATTCTCACTGAAGGACAGGATTTTCTTAGTTGAGAAAGTGGCTGAAAAGCTGGCAGGGAAGCGTCTAATCCGACTCCTCCGGGAGGAAAACACCAAAAGTAAACAAATAAGAATTATATCAGTAAATCTGTTAATGAACAAAACAGTATACAAATTCGGACTGAAATGCTATTCCCCCCTCAAAAAAAATAAAACCAAACGAATAATCAGAGAGAAAACTGAGGCGATGACAATGAGGGGGAATCGAACCCTTCGTGTTAAGATTACCAATACTTAACGAGACCAGTAAAAAACTAGGCTTGGTCGATCATGAGTTCGCGTGTGCAAACAAATGCCTCCTATTTCACTATCATGTCAATACGTTTAGGACAGGGTGCGTTTTAGATAATACATAAACCAAAGTTGATCGGGAAAGAAGCCCCCTAGACCGCCATTGATAGAAGAGAATAAGAGCCAAAAAGCCCCTACTTCTTCAATATTTAAATGGCAACACTGTATAAACTGATGTTTTCAATAAATATTCAGTTAAAGTTCTGAAGATATGAGCTTTCATGAAGTACAAGGAGTCATTTGATGAAGTGTGCTTCCATTGACAACAATTCCAGCTGACACAAACACGCACACAGGGGAGTGTAGCCAAGGTGAGGAGAACGTATACCCTCTGTGTGTGTGTGTGTGTGTGTGTGTGTGTTGCCGTGGGGAGATCCTAAACAAGTCTCAACTTTGTTTTGCTTCCGGTTAGGCAAAAGCATCGTGGAAGAGTGGGCAACCTCAGCCCACGCATCATAGAATATGAAACTGACTGGTGGTGGTGGACCACACACACAACACCACACCAACACACACCACACACCACACACACACACACACCACACCACCACACACACACACCACACACACACCACACACCACACACACACACACACACCACACACACCCACACACAACACAACACCACCACACCACACACCACACAACACACACACACACACACACACACACACACACACACACACACACACACAAACACACCAACACACACACACACACACCACACAGTTTAGGCTCATACGCAAGAGGAGTGAGGAGGAAGAATATATGAGCTGTAGTCAATTTAGAAACATTGCTCTCATGGTGTGTGTGTTGTGTGTGTGCTGTGTGTGTGTGTGTGGTGTTGTGTGTGTGTGTGTTGTGTGGTGTGTGATGTCTGTGTGTGTGTGTGTCTGTTCTGTGTGTGTGTGGTGTCTGTCTGTTGTGTGTCTGTGTGATGTCCTGTGTTCGGCGACGCAGCTATGAGGAATGTATACCCCCCGGGCCAAAATGTAGGAGTTTTCCACCAGCGAGAACAGGCACATAACCTCAGAATGTGGGAACACACACACACACAAAAACACCACACACACTCACCATAGTGTTTGACAAACAACAACCTAGTTTTCCTCACACTGGTGAAAATGAACCACTCTCTCTCTCAGACACACACACACACTTTCTGAGGGAACGGCTGACCTATCAATGAGCTTGATATAGAGTTTCATGGTTTTTGTGTGGTACCTGTGATGTTCCTGGCTTCTCGGGTTGTGGTTGTGTGTGTGTGTTGTGTGGTGTGGTGTGTGTGTGTGTGTGTGTGTGTGTGTTGTGTGTGTGTGTGTTGTGTGTGTGTGTGTTTGTCGTGTGTGTGTGTGTGGGGGGGTTGTGTGTGTGGTGTTGTGTGTGTGTGTGTGTGTGTGTGTGCGCGTGTGTGTGTGTGTGTGTGTGTGTGTGTGTAGTTGACATTTCAAAATGTAACATGGATCCTCCAGGCTTCCAGAAACTTCTGTGTATCTACGAGGGACAGTTGTTGTTTTAACTAAGGGCTGCGGCTGACATACAGGACAGGATGTATGTAGAAACACACTGGATGTGGTTCTGGGTGATTTTCCGTTATTATTCACCAATGTAAATGTCGTGTACGTTAATTTATCAAAAGACTTTGAATATTGGGCTTTCGTTTCCTCATTCTGAACGTACCTTGGTTATTTAAATGGTGTCAGTTCTGCAAAACATCTTCACTGCGTGTGTAAAACAAGAACTAAGGGTGCGTTTCATTCGGTTAAATGGATTCCTTGCGTCGTTTCCCTGCGACTAGTCCCTCGCACCAGGGAAGCATGGAGAGACGCAAGGAAACCACGAGAAGCAGGGAAATGGGTTTTAAGAGCAATGGGACGTCGTTTCCTGCAAGCTATATAAGATTAGTGCTAACAAAAGACACCTTTTCCCTCGCTGGTAATCACAAGGTTTTCTCATTTTATTGGCAACTTGTTTTTAGGTTTTATTCAACTTTGAGAGAAAGATATGGGAAATATAAGTGTGTGATGACGGCACGCTGGTGGGGAAAACTATTGGGCTGTTTTAGAAATGTTACCACAACAAAGCTGAGAAAAATGCAAACTGTGTTTTTTTTCTGAAATACACTCAATACAGATTTCCCCTAAGTGCTGGTTGTGCACAAAATAAAAAATAATTGCACTACAATTTAAAAATAAACTACACTGACATGCTCATACAGTACATACTTTCTGTGTATACATCAGGTATGTGACTGCCAAAAAAAGCACGACATTATATGCGTGTGTGCAGATTCAGAAATCTTTTAAATAAATGTTCATATAATATAGAAAATTCACAAAAATAGGACAAGCAGTTAAATATGTACATGTGTAAGTCAAACGGGTACATGTATATATTGTTTTATTAAATGTTCTGCGTCTATATGTTCTCCGTGTGTGTGTGCACCCCGGCTTTAACGAGACCTATACAAAATAACCTTGAAGTTACATTTCTGTGTTTAAGAACTTTTAAATACACTGAATGGAGGGGAAGTTGTTGGCACGGCAGGGAAGTCGAGACAAAAAAACTAAATAAGGAAAGAGGAAGCGATCAAAGCTTTGTATGTAACAGTCTGTCAGTCACTGAAGGAGTGTCACATACCTCCACTGTACGATTCTATCCCACATTGAATACTGTTTGACAAACTGCTCGTTTGCTTGTGCCACAAACCTGAAACCCATAGAACAGCTGTACAAGAGAGCTATCGAGGTGTTTGACAGAAAGCCACATTCATACCATCACTGTACCATCCTAGAAAAACACAATTTCTTGAGCTTTGACAATTTTAAGTCTTTTAAAAGTATGTTTCTTTATAAATGTTTACATGGACTGCCCCCCCCTCCCCCTCCCTTAGGGGAATTCATCCACAGAAAACACACTGGGCGCTGCACTAGGTCAGAAACCAGAGGAGACTGTGAAGTCCACCACAGAAGGACCACTTTTGGACAAAATGTCCTCTCCATTAAAAGGCAGCTCATTGTGGAACAGCCTCCCAACTGAGATACGGGATTGTCCCACTCTCAGGTGCATTCACACCTAATAGTCCGCTTCTCTGGTGCGCACCAGACGACAGTTTGTTACATTGTTTCATTTTTCAGAAGGTTCGGTTTGCGTTCACACGGGCAAAACTCAAACGGACTATAAACTTTAAACACAAGTCATGTGCACGGAAATGCTGTTCAACCATTGGTCAGACATTAAGGGGGTAAAAACGCAAATCCCGGCAATTTCTACCGGAGCCTCCGCCATGGAGCATC